GGCAGCAAGAATGAGGATGAAGGAGCAGAGCTTGAGACCAGGAACCATTTCATGCATAATGAGGTGGGGGTTTTTGGTTGCTCTTTCATATTCTCCTCTTTGCAGGAGTGTTCAGGTAATATAACAAAAGCATCCTCTAGCTCTAGTGTTAGACTCAGGCTTTCTGCTTTTTCCAGTACTCACCTTCATCGAAACTGCTTAGAAATAAACAATCTCATGGCCAATTGAGTCTTTTATGGATATCTGTTTCTTTGGTCGATGTTACCCAGGACTTAAACTTTTCTACCAGTTAGCATCTGTAATAGAGTAAACGTGTTACTGCATAATAATATGTATTATTACATATTACAAAGTAAAGTATGTAGCTTGATCCATTTCATCCCTAGGCTTGGTTGACCTCAAGAAGTTCCTCTTCTGCCATATTGGTGTGATGAGGCAAGAAAATTGTCTTTTTCAGAACATCACTTTATATGTTCTTATCACTTGTCAAACTGCTTGGACCCATTCTGTGTCTGTTGGTGGCATGTTGCATTTCCAGTGTCATGTTATTGTGTTGTAATCTGCCACATAGAGCCAGCAGCAGGCATGGCACTGGGTTCAACATCTCTGGATTACTTTCCATTGATCCAAAATAGAACCATCTCGAGCTCACACCTTGTAACATGGGAAATTCATACACCATGCATGGGTGCCTCTGAGAGGCAATGCTTCCCCACTTGCAATCACAGAGTCTGTGTGTAGAAAAGAAACTTTTAATAAAGGAAGGGAAGTAACTTGGCATTAATTTGGGAAAAACCTCACAAACAGGGTTCATAAACAAAAAACATGAGTAAAAGTCCTACCCCAATTAGGTTGGGCAATGTCCTTTTCCTCTCAGGTTCTTAAATCCAGCAATCTAAATGTCCCCTTTACATGCCCAACTCTTCTCTGCACCCAATTGCTGTTGCTGCCCTTGGTCACAGCAGACCCAGAGTTCAGAAGTGAATCTGCAGAATTCATCTCCGATCCTGGGTGAGAAGACAAAGAGGCATCTTACTCACCATGCTGGTAATTTGCCATCTGCCTGATTACTACTTTCTGCTGCCACTCTGCTGGCTGTCAGTCAGCATCTGTTGCCTTCAACCTCTTGGCTATGACTTCTGCCCATCAGTCTCAAGTGATTTCAGCTCCCAGGGATTTCTACCCTGCCTTCTGAGAGTTGAAGAAACAGAGCTCCACCACAAATAACATAAAAAAGAGACTTCTGAGGATGCCTATTTAGCTCTGTTCATTGAGTAGTGGGGGGGAGGAGGAATGGTCCAGTTTAATCAAGGGAGGTTATATAGCCCGACCAGAATAACCTTCCCTCACCCCTCCTAGAACTCTGAAAGCTGAGCCACTTCTTAGCAAGGTTCTTTCTGCTGTGAGCCCTTTCCTTTGGAATAGATTTAGAACAGTCCTGTTTTTCTGTATTCCCACAAACAATACAAACATTGGTAACCATAGTTCTGCTACCCCTGAATTTAATACAAACATAGGTGGTGTTGGGTCACAAATTAAGTTGATTGCAATGAGAAAAATACTACTCCATCTGCTGAATAACTAACAAATTTAAGCAAAGCAGGAGAAAACTGCATTTACATAGACACGCCCAGGGTCTCTCTTTTTTTTCCCCCCTCCCCTCCTTCCAGCTAGAAAGGCCCATTTGAAATCATGGGAAGGTGGGCGGGCAAAGCCCGCCCACATTCTAAAAGCCCCTCCCCAACCTTATGGGAGGGACACTGAACTCATGTTCAACTGAATCCGGGGGACAAAAAATGACAACAGGGTCAAGGAGTGTCCTTCCAGCTAGAAATGAGGAAAGCATTCCTTCAGATCCGGCTCACATCTTATTTTCCTGCAAGAATAAAAATGCTCATTCAGAATTGCATAGTTCACTTTAGGCACTGTGGAAGCATTGATGAAACAGGAGGAGTATTTGGTTTGGTAGTAGATCCAACTATGTGATCTCCTGATTTGTGCTGGTCAGCTTCCCAGAAATTTTGTAGCTGCATAAGCTCAGCTTGAATCTGCACATACATTCCTCTGCTCTCTTTTTCTCATCTTCAGCACAGTAGGGATCCATTTGCTGATGAGTGGCTGATTCTTTCACCATTGTGAATATCACTTTCAATCAGTTTCACAATGTATAAATAAAAGCATTTATTCATATAATCCCCTGGGTTTTTTTTTCTGTAAACACTGCTGAGACCCCTTGTGAGGTGATGTTGTCTTGTTTGTCAAAGAGAATAGTGTTGAGAAGTTCACAATAACTTTATGCTTTTAGGTGATCTCCAGAGATGAAAATAAGCAGGTGTGCCCAAGTGCACAGCTCTGGCAAGAACTGGCTGAGTTGTGGCAAAAGCCAGCAGGGAGCTATTTAAAGAGCTGGCAGGGACCCAGGTTGCAATAGGACAGTACCTATAATAAATTTAAGTTCCTTTCACCCCTGGTGAGATCATATATGTATATCCTGTCTTGATAGTTAAAAACTGTCTTGTCCTAGTGTCAATGTGGGAAAAATTGTTTTAAATTATTTTCCTAGGATTTGGAGGAAGGCTTTTAAATAGATATTAGATATTCTTGAAAACAGCTGTGACTACTGATTGCAAGAAGTCAGGATAGTAGCTGAATATTTTCAGAAGTGACTAATTCCTTACGAGACAGAGGGCAAGTCTATAATAATATATTATCCTAATTTTTTATCTGTCCTTGCAGCCCATGGGCTTCTCCAGAAGTGAAAAGAAACAGCTTGTTTTCCATTGTGAGCTTCAGTTTTACATCATGGTCTGTGCTATTGGTGAAATATGGTACTTGAAGCCATACATTCCTGTATTCCAGTACTCCTGTGGGAATTCTGTGTGACTGCGCATGCACAGAATTCATTTCCCCGCAGATTTTGTTGCTTCTCCACAGAAGAAAACAACTTTCTGATGGAGAAGCAGAGGGTCATGTGATCCTCACCAGCAGTATGTTTTGGGTGTCTAGGGCAGTTGGCGGAGAGGTAAATGAATGCATGGTAGGTGATGGGACTGGGGAAGATGTGGTTGTGGGATCTTACCCTGCTCCAGGCTCAATTTCTAATCCTGGCTGGGCTGGGGAGGAAGGGAATTCCTCTTCCCCTGTATGGCATCCAGGGCTGGGATCAGATCATCCCCCACATTTCTTCACAAGCTGCAAGTTCCCCACCCCACTCATCACTCCTCATCTGCAGGGTGAGAAATCACCGTATGGAGAGCTGCTCCCCCTACCTCTATATATCTAGATCTCCTTCACCAAACCTCACCCCAAACACACCCACAACCCTTATCCACACACCCCGAGAACCCTTCCCACTATCCCTGCACCTGAACCACCTGACAAACAACCCACACCTAAATTCCCACCCCACTGAGCCCCACTCTTCCATCCCAGCATCTGAACCTGCCAACTCTGACTCCCCTGCCAAACTCTACCCTTCCATACCCATATCCTGCCTCACTGAACCTTAACCTCCATGTGAACCCCCTGCAGAGTCCTATTACCATTGCACCCAGAACCCCCCAACAGGCCTCTGTGTATCTGGATCACCTCTCACAGCCAGACTGCCCCATATCTGGTCTCTCCCTCCTCCCCCACACTAAGCCCCTTAACACTTGGATCCTGCTTGGCTGAGCCTGGCTGCCCATACCTGGTGCATTTGGCATGGAGGGGCAGGTCCCTGGGGTGTGTCCGGGGCAGGCTCAGTCCTATGTCAGGATTGGGCGCAGCCTTACTGAGTCATGCTCAGTGGGGAGGTGCAGAGTAATCTCCCACCTCTGTGCAGCCAGTGCTCTTCAGTGCCATGCTGGAGCCTCCACATTTATTTGAGAAATTGAATTTTGCATCATTTTAAAATGTTCTGCAGAGAACTTTTGTGCAGATTTTAATTTTTTTTGACACAGAACACCCTCAGAAGTAATGTCAAAGCCCGTTCTACAAGTTGTCAATTATTGACATTTCTCTCTTTCATTGCATTAGGAAACTTTTCAAAATCCATAATGCATGATTTGGGTTTTAATAATAGAACACAAACAGTGCATTAAACATCAGGCATCTGGCTTTAAATATATAATCACAGTTCATTGAATCCTTGGTATTTTATTTAATTATTAGAAACTACATTATAAAGTATGGAGATGATTAGTGGCAACAGTAATAACATCTGTCTTTAATATGACATTCAGAATTCATGTCACATTTTCATATTTGAAATGCATTTTCTCTGGCTTAGGGTTTTTATTGATATAATTCCAATTACAAAGTAATGAAGTCCCGATTAGAATGTGTGAAAAGTAAATGTTTCTCCTTCATACCATTCAGTTGCCCCAAACCTTCCAAGTATAGGAAGGTAGAAAGAGACTATTACTTAACAGCAGATATTGATGATGGCATAGGTGTAAGTAGATTATCAGTCAAGCACTTTGAACAATCATTGAATTAACTTTACATTTTAAGAGGATTTTATTACAATATATTTTTAACTTTAACAGCAGATTATGCTGTCCATAGGTAAGGATCAAACAGATACATTTGCATTTAATATTTATTCTCTTAATTTAGTATTTTATAACTGGGTTGCTATATTATATACTCCTGAGGGAGTAATAAGGTGGACATTTTTCTGTGGAAAAATATTTGTGTTTTCCTGGCGATTTAGATTATTTGAAATTTTTAAGATTTAAAATGTAGCATGGTGAAGCCTGACCTAATTGATCTTTTAAATGCTACTGAAATACAAGATCATAATAAACATAGTGAGCTATTGTGATTACTACTCTTGATTATCTCTTCATTTCTCCTTTTTATTTTTTAACATTTTTGAATGAAGGCTATGCTAATGAAATATAGTACAGACTTTAAGGAAGTATGAAATACTACAAATACACCTTATATACTGTTGTGAAGTGTAATTAAATGAGCAGTGACACTTCTCTTTATGATCTTCTATTTCTCTTTAACAGTTAACTGGGAGACAGTGTGGAGAGCCGACACCACACAGAAGTTCAGGGTTCACACAACCATGAATGGGAATGTTGGGGTACTGCGAATCTTCCCAGGAATTAATGCTGCCACTGTATGTACCCTGTTTTTAATTCTTGAAATGGTAAAGAGAGTAATCAAACACATCTGGAAAACATCGGTAAAAACAGCCACAGTAAGTCACACCAAAGCGATCTAGCCCAGGATCCTGTCTTCCAGGATACTTGGCTAGACATATCATTGGTCTGACTTAGTATGGCCTTTCTCATGTTCTTAAGATTTTAAATGATTTTGGTACACTACCTTGAGCAATGTTGTACCCCAGTTGTGCTGGTAAATATTCCTAGTGTGATTGAGCTGTTCTAGCATGGAAAACTACTTATGAAGGTTTCTAAAGTACCTTTAACCCGAATCACATGGTCTTTTGAATTTATAATATATCACCTCCACTTGTTTGGAAGATGTATTTGAACTCTTGACAAGCACGTGCAAGCTACAATGACCAGAAGTGCCTGTTTGCCATGCAGTCAAATGTATGTGTATAATATACACTTTGCAAAAGGGACCTTTATGGTTGCACACTAAAAAGTCCACAGTGTATTTTAACCTGCAGATATGCCCACTAGGTGGAAGGGCACCTAAAAGTTAGGTACTGCAAAGCTCAGCATTGAAATGCCGATGTTTCTGTTTTTGAAGTTCCTTCCACCTGAACTGTTTCTTTCTCATGGCCATTTGTCAGTTTAAATTGCATCCAATAGTTGAAGTAGGAATTTATACTTATCTTTTTAGTGAATCTGAACAAATGGAAATGCAGTCGGGTGGTAGATTTGAAATAAAACTCTACTGTACAGTTAGCCTCATGGGTGACTATAGTGTATTGATTAAAAAAGAAACATCTACATCTGTGGTCCCCAACCCGGTGCCCGCGGGCGCCATGGCGCCCGCCGTGCCCTTTACATGCGCCCGTGGAGCAATCTGGGCTGGCCCCGCCCCCGGGCGTGTGGCAGGTGCCAGCCCCGGGCGCATGGCTGGCCTTGGCCCCAGGTGCGCCGCGTGTGCCGACCATGACGGATCGCAGCACATGCCAGTGCTGACCTCGGGCGTGCGGCGCGTGCTTGGCCCCGCCCCCAGTCACGTGGCCTGTGAGCGTCCCTGCCCCCATATGCGCAGCGCGTGAGCGGCCCCGCCTCCAGGCGCCAGGCAGCCCCAAAACGTTGGGGACCACAGATCTACATTGTCTAAAGTAATTTCACTAGATGACTACTTACATTGTTGAGATATACTAGCTATGTGGTTACTAATTGGCCCATAGAAAATAATTACTCCGTCCCCTACCCTTGACCCTCAATTAAATGGATGGTTTCTTGAATTTAAAATAATTCCTGGAGGTTTCATTATGATTGTATTTCCTAATGTTTGGAAGGCGTATGTACTAAACATGATACATAGATTTGATCATTGTGGTTCAAATGTATCCAGTAAGAATTCAATTATTTTTTTTGTTCATTTATATTTCTGTATTTACAAATAATACATTTACATTGATCAAATAATTATCTGTCATCATGCAATTGCATAGCTTATGTAAGAGAGAGAACCTGGGTGAGGATAATACCTTTTATTGGATCAATGTCTACTAGTGAAAGAAACAAGCTTCTGAGCTCACACAGAACTTGAAAGCTTGTATATTTCACCAGCAGAAGTTGGTCCAATAAAAGATTCTACCTTGACCCACATTGTCTTTCTAATGTCCTGGCAACAACATGGTTACAATATTACAAATAGCCTATGAAATGTATTTAAACAATGGGTTGCCATCTTTTTCTCCCTAAGATAATTTTAATCAGTCCTTCCTGTACGAAACTGCCATTATTTTAAAATGTATCCATCTGGGATTGTCAGAGGAGGCAAAAGAAGTTCCCAACTTCTAGAGCCTTCTTTTAAAAAATCTGAGCCTTATTTTTTAGAAAGGATCATCTACAAATGTTGTGTGTAGGGGATATAAGGTACTTTGTATTTTTAAGTTTCTGAATCCTGCTTGAGACATAATGGCCTTTTAACTAAACAGTTCTTACTGAGGGGAACTTGTTTGAAAGCACCATAATTATTAGTAATTATGCCATCACTTGTCAGTGCCCTTTCCTTGGAAAATCATGTGTCAGAAGCAGTATGACAATAGTTTTTCTAGTTGTACAGACCACACACTTTTTCATTAGTTGACAGTCTCACAACTGTTAAACATACCATCGTGACAATGAGGCAATTAGTTCAGTATTCAACTGAATATTTCCTCACAGGCTTGAGAAACTTTAAGCAAATAAAATGTTTACCCTGTAAATTTTTCTATACTGACTTCTGTTTTGTGGTAGATTAATTTTAAATTGATGGTGTTGGTTTTTTAATATCCTCAAAAGTATAGGCCCTGGCTAATTCCAGATTCAGTCTACACTGACATCGCATAACCTTTCATGGGTTCCGTTTTTATTTGTGCTTTGATGTCCTGTGAAATTTGGAACTTGTTTCCCACTGAGGTCCATCCTGATGCATCCTTTTGCATACTTAAACTTACCGTTTCCCCCAAAGTTGCCACTAATGTCACTATATTTATAAGCATCTACCAACATTACTTGAACCATTCCTTCCAATTTGTTTTTCCATATACTTAGGACTAATCCAATACCTATCTAATATATAAAGGAGAATGTTTGTATGTTTATGCACTAATAACTTGGACACTATAAGACTTACCGCAATCAAACTTTGCAAGGGATAAAACGTTTTCCTGGATAAAAGGTTAAGTTACTGTGGGAGTGAAGAGATGAGAGACCAACGCCTCTCCCCAGAGCAGCACAGAGCTTGGCAGTGTGGGGAGAAGCGGCGGGGTCAGTCACTCACTAAGGCCAGCAGAGGGACAAGGAAGCGGAGGGCGGGCTCAGGCACCGGCGGCAGGCGCATGACTCCCTTTCCCCTCCCTCTCCTCAGGTTCCTCACCTCAGTTATATCAACTGTCAACTTATATTTCAGCAATGTATATTGACAAAGCACAAGGACAGTCATTTAAAGTAGTTGGAATTGATTTGGAGACATCTTGCTTTTCACATGGACACCTCTATGTTGTGTGTTCAAGAGTTGGAAGTGGAAAAAATGTGTACATATTTAAGAATAACGAAACAAAAAATATAGTTTACAATAATGTTTTTGATTATAACAAGTAAAACTGGTTGTTTTATACTTTTTTATATATATTTTAATCTCTATAGAACTCAGCGCAACATTTCTACCATTCAAAAAATGATAATAGACTACAGTTTTTCTAAATTTTGTTCCTCCACTTTCCTGAGCAACTCCAGGTAACTCCTGCTAGTATAGATATAAAGCTCTGAACATAATATGTGCTATTGTATGGTGCCTCAGTTGGAATACTCTCTGTAAATGCTGTCAATCATGGTAGGAAGAAGTTTAATTCTTTTTTTTTTTTTAAGCTTGTGACAGCCAACCAGTCCTTTTGTAAATTCTTTTGAAAAATATGTCGGGGAGCATGGGCTTGCAAATGTTATAGCAATAAAGACATGGAGTTAGAATATTTAACACCTTATTTTAAATAGGTGAAGGCATTTCTTCAGCCTCCAATGGAGGGCATTGTACTTGAAACTTACGGAACTGGCAACGCACCAAGTAATCGAGAAGATTTGCTACTAGAACTGAAGAAAGCAACCGAACGAAAAGTAGTGATTCTGAATTGTACCCAGTGCTTACGCGGGAGTGTTGTTGCAGTCTATGAAACTGGACAGGTAAGGAAAATACAACCATTTCTGATTGCAATGTTAGGTAAAAGAAATGTCTCGCTGATCTGGTTGGTTTCATGTTTAATATGCTAGAAAATGAAAATTTAGCTACAGGAAAATGTAGTCTATAAAACAACTGTATTAGATTAGCTTTTAAATGTTTCAAGCTGATTTGCAAACAAGATTTTCACAGGATCTCTCCCTCAATCCAAAGCTGTTTTCCCCCCTCAGACAGGTGGTTGCTATAGATAGAATGAAAGCAGGAAGGAATAACTTGTGGTGTCTAGTCTCCATTCCTACACTTTTCCTCTTTTTTGAGAGTCCTCTCCAGCTGGTGATCAGGGCAAGAAAGTCTCTGAGGATGGGAACCTCCAGCTGTTTATATGACAAGATATAAATATCTTGCTCACATCATAAGGAGGAGGGAGAAAACTTGTTCATCTTGGCCTCTGGGGATAGAACAAGAAGCAATAGGCTTAAACTGCAGCAAGGGGGGTTTAGGTTGGACATTAGGAAAAAGTTCCTAACTGTCAGGGTAGTCAAACACTGGAATAAATTGCCCCAGGGAGGTTGTGGAATCTCCATCTGTGGAGATAGATAAATGTCTACTCTTAAATAACATATCAGGGATGGTCTAGACAGTATTTGGTCCTGCCATGAGGGCAGGGGACTAGACTCGATGACCTCTCGAGGTCCCTTTCAGACCTAGTATTCTATGATTCTATCCCTTTTCCTGCCAAAGAATGACCACTTAATCAGGTGATAATTCATTTGATTTCAATGACATCTGACTAAGGTTTCAGTTTGCCTTTGTCTCTGAGGAACTGGATTGTGGCTGCTTTTCAAATTTGGAAGATGTTTGTAATATCATGCAGTAGAATGTTCTGGCTTTACATATGATGTCACCATACCTACTGTACCAGGACAATGATGATTAGTAAATTGTGAGTTTTCAAATAATGCCTCACAAGGCATAATTTATACAAAATGTATCATGGACTTATAAAAGGAACACAGGGGGTTCAGCTTGTCCCATATGTCAAGAGAGCAGGCTTCGTGGAACTCCTGTATATTTTGGTTAATGCAGAAATATATGGAGACTGAAGAAAGCAATTCATAAACAACTTAATGTAAAAATTTAAACAATGTAAAGATTGTTCACTAAATAATACCAAGATACCTGAAACTGCAACATTTCATGAGAACAAAATCTAATTTATTATATCACATGCTACTTCAGCTACAATGTAGGGGGAAGGAGATTTTTCCCTCCTATACTTTGGCTGAAAATTTCTCCATAAGTAGAGAACCTCTGTGTGAGATCCAAGGTGCTAATTTCTTAATTTGACTCAAGTCATTAGCATTCCTCCTTATTAAACCTTTATTGGGTTATTTAGTCACTTGTTAATTTGTGGGTTCCAGTTTTTGGATGTGGTGCATGTTATTGTGTGGCTTTACCAACTTCCACTGATGCAGACTAAACTCTGTTTTATATTGGTACTTCTACAGGAAAACATTGCCAGTGTTGATAGAGCCATAGTGTGTTCTGGCTGAATTCTATGGAATTTATTTCGCTGCCCTTTCCTTTTTGAAAGTAATAGTTCTGTGGAGGAAACATGTTGGCTGAGTTCTAGAAATCTACTGCAATAGTAGTTTCTTAAAGAAAAATTGTATTAATTTGTCTACATTTTTTTTAAAGTAAAAAACATTTTGTGTAGCTGGCAATAACTTGTTACCCCTCACTACATGTGGCTTTATTCTGTCATTTGTACGTATTATAGCTAATCTTGTGCTTTAATTATTAAAATCATAGTTTATCTCAAACTCTTTTTATTAACTGTATTCCTGGTCTCTGATCCACTTCCTGACCACAGATTATAATTGAGGGGGTCTATCTGGTGATAAGAAGGCAGGGAGACTTTCTAGGGGTGTGTGGAGTCTAGTGAGTTAAGGCATTGTTTGGTAAATACATGATGACTCAGTCTGCAGCTTTGAAAACTTTGCATGGTGTCTTTTCCTCTCTAGGAATCTCACAAATAAATCACTGTAGGGAGGTTTCTCCCTGATAGTTGTCCTCACTGTAACACATGGTTTAGCAAAGTTTATAGTCTGTGTCCTAAAGAAACCTGAACTATTGCACATAAATTCTGATTAGAAATTTTAAATGGTATGTGAAGCTCTTAAGGAAGCCTCCTTTGTCTTCACTCATTGGTTCCTATGCTCCATAAATATACCTATTGAAGGTAGGTCAATTTGGTTCTGCTTTTGCATTGATTCAGTCATTCTTCGATTGCTTCACCTATGCAATTCAGCAATCTGTCTGTAGCAAGCACTCTTTTGTTTTTGCCAAAACAGCTATTTATGCAGTCTAGTCTCATGTCCTAAATCATACACAAGTAATGCAGCTTATAATGAAAACAAACCCATTGGTGGCACACTGCAGTACTGGAATTCATAATAAAATTCATAGTAAAATGGTCAATATGTTTGTGGAAAAACAACATACCGTATATACTCGAGTATAAGCCGAGTTTTTCAGCACAGTTTTTGTGCTGAAAAATGCCCCCCTCGGCTTATACTTGAGTCAGCCTCCTGCTCGCGGGCGGGCTCAGCGCATCTCTGCCGCCGGCCGGGTCTAGACGCGTGAGCCTGGAGCTCCGGCCCCCCTGCCCCTGCCCTCCTGGCCCTTCCGGCCCCTGCCCTCCTGACCCTCTCAGCCCCCCTGTCCCCTTGTCCCCCCCAGCCCCTGCCCTCCTGGCCCTCCCGGCCCCCCTGTCCCCTTGCCCCCCTGAGCCCCTGCCCTCCTGGCCCACCCAGTCCCTGCCCTCCTGGCTCTCCTGGCCCCCCAGCCCCTGCCTGCCCGGCACCATGGGCCCTTGCCGCGTGGGAGGAAGGGCGTTTGGGGCCGTTCGCCATGACGCTCGGGTGCAGCGCTGAGCTCGGGAACAGCTGGGCCAGGAGCCGACTCGGCACCGTGGGCGTCTGTTCTGGAAGCGCCCGGGAGCCCTGATCACGAGCTTGGGCCCGATTCTGGGGCAGGTGCACAAGGACCAGCCGCTGCTCCCTGCTCCCCCTCCCCTCTCCTTCCCTCCCCTCCCGTGGTAAAATCCAGCCAGCACCGGCACCCGCTCCCCCCGCTGGCTCATTGGCCCATCGATGCCCGGCTCTGGTCTCTCACAGCCCCCCCCCCCGCTGGCTCGTTTAGAGGGGGCTCGTTGGCAGGCGAGGGGGCCGGAACGTGGGGGCTGCGGGGCCTGAGCTGTGGCTGTGCCTGCAGAACCATATTGTTTTTGTTGACCCCCTTTTCCCCTTACAGAGCTAGGTTATTGTTTTTCTTTGAAATAAATATTCATGTAATTTTATTGGTATCTATCTTCATTTTTTACATTTACCAGTAGCTGCCTCATTTCCTACCCTAGGCTTATACTCGAGTCAATATTTTTTCCCAGTTCTTTGTGGTAAAATTAGGTGCCTCGGCTTATATTCGGGTCGACTTATACTCGAGTATATCAGTTCTTTGGGGTAAAATTAGGTGCCTCGGCTTATATTCGGGTCGGCTTATACTCGAGTATATACGGTATTTGACAATTTAAAACACCACTGCTTTTAAAAACTAGTAACTGCACCATAATAAGGGCTAATCCATTAACTGTTTATGTAGTTAATACACATTCATAGCCTTTTTTAGGATAAGGAAATGGTAATTCTTGGTTTCTAACAATCCCATATGTATCAATTCCATATACAAGAGTTTCTGAATACTATACTAATTAAGTCAAAAATTCTTCTTATTCACAGTCTCTCTCTGATGTAGGAGCAATTCCAGGGGGTGATATGACACCTGAAGCAGCCCTAGCTAAACTTTCATACATACTGAGCAAACGTGATCTTTGCTGGGAGGAGAAGAAGAAGGTAAATATTTCACTATGAGTTTAGCAGACTTTCAACAATGGTTGATTTTTAAAATCTAATTTTCTAATATTTACTACACTGACTTCTGTCTAGTAAAATTACTTGACTTACTTTGTTAATTTATGAGCATTCACTTCCACTATCTAATGTGAAAGCATCACATCCTCTTACTTTATGCAAAATAATATTATTACAGAAATAAGAAAATTAGGTAGATTTGAGGGAAGACGAAAATTCTCAGACTTCTGCACACAGGTCAGTTGAAAACCAAAACCAATCTTTAAAACTTCTTTTAAATTTAGCATTGGATTTGTGCTGCAGGACACTAAATATATATTGTGCAAACTGAAACTGAGAATGGAGGTGAAGTCCTGGTTCCACTGAAGCCAATGGAAATATTGTTACTGATTTCAGTGGAGCCTGGATTTCACCCAGAGTTTATATTTTAGTCTTCATGTTGTAACTGGTGCATCTTATTATTCTTGTCATTTTATTTGACATCTGTGAATCTTGAGTGTCAATGTTAGATGTAATTTTGTTAGGATGAAAAGATTTATATTGAGCACATTCTTTAAACACAGACCTTTTCTCTGTGTCCCTGACTCTCAAGTATTAATGTAATGGACTATATATTTATAATTACTTGTTAATGACAGATTCTTTTTGGTTAATTAATATGTTAGGTGTTGGGAAATAGTTAATACAATGCATACAAATATATAGCTTTGCGTTGAACATTCTTTTGTCAGTGATGGAATGCTAGCACACGAACACATTAAAACTTCTGTTTTTATATGCAGTGAAGTCAGAGACCTGTTGCATTAAAGTTGTTATCCTGATTTTTGGATGGTACCAACCTGTGTCATTATCTAGATTTAACCTATTAAACATGATTTCCCTTCACCTCCTTTGAATGTGCTAGGTAAAATAAAACCTATTTCCAAGACATTACTTTTGAATAATGGCAATAAAAAAGAAAATCCTATGGAATACCTATGGGGAAAGGTGATGAAGGGTGGTGTCTTTCCTTCCAGCTTTAAAACTAACAAGTGTCCTTATAAATGCAATTCCCCTTTCCTCCCTGGGTTACTCGGGAGCAGGCAACATTCAGCTGTGTTCCTGGGCACCTGATGTTGTTCCTGAGTATCCCAATGGTGATGCTGGAAAAGTAGGAATCCTCTATCCACTCCTCTGCTGTAGTCTCTTTACTTGTACAGGAGGTTAATATTGCTTACATCTTGCTGGCCCTTGTATGTCCTCAGTGGCGTGGCTTGGGAATCTCCAGGAATAAACCCATTTTAATAATACTTCTACTATGTGGCATGGATCTAACTTAAAAACACCAATTATAAATAATATACATCTAATGTACTTAAATTAGACTTAACACACCTTTACACAACATCTTAAACAGGATTTAGTAGACTAAGATTAAATATCACTAATAATTTTAATCCACAGTGTTCAGGTAAATAAAATCAATTAATAAACAATAGACAGTAATAAATGAAACTTCCCTAATTGACATTTATGCTGCCACCATTTAACCCACCCAGGAGCATACAAACCTCTGGATTTCAGAGTCCTAGATGAAGACAGCATTCTGTAGGTTCTATGTATCTGTCCAACCCAGGCACCAAACTAAGCTGCACAACCCCTCCATAGATTGGAGCTCCCTGCTCAATCAAAGCCCCAGCAAGCTCTTAGCAGCAGGCTCTAGTTTCCCAGCAGCAGCTCCTGGTATGGACAGAATTCCACACCACAAGTCTGATTCCTATTTCCAAAACAGAGCCCACCTACTCTCTCTGCACTATCTGAAAGAGAGAAGTCTCCCTCCTTTTTCCCAAGGTATCGTGGGAGGTGTAGTCTCTAAGTCTAGATCGCAACATATCATAGAATCATAGAATAATAGGACTGGAAGGGACCTCAAGAGGTCATCGAGTCCAGCCCCCCGCCCTCAAGGCAGGACCAAGCTCCATCTACACCATCCCTGACAGATGTCTATCTAACCTGTTCTTAAATATCTCCAGAGAGGGAGATTCCACCACCTCCCTTGGCAATTTATTCCAATATTTGACCACCCTGACAGTTAGGAATTTTTTCCTAATGTCCAATCTAAACCTCCCCTGCTGCACTTTAAGCCCATTACTCCTTGTCCTGTCCTCAGAAACCAAGAGAAACAAATTTTCTCCTTCCTCCTTGTGACACCCTTTTAGATATTTGAAAACCACTATCATGTCCCCCCTTAATCTTCGTTTTTCCAAACTAAACAAGCCCAGTTCATGAAGCCTGGCTTCATAGGCTTCTCTAGACCTTTAATCATTCTTGTCGCTCTTCTCTGTACCCTTTCCAATTTCTCCACATCTTGCTTGAAATGTGGCGCCCAGAACTGGACACAGTACTCCAGCTGAGGCCTAACTAGCGCAGAGTAGAGCGGCAGAATGACTTCACGAGTTTTGCTTACAACACACCTGTTAATACAACCTAGAATCATATTTGCTTTTTTGGCAACAGCATCACACTGTTGACTCATATTCAACTTGTGGTCCACTATGACCCCTAGATCCCTTTCCGCCATGCTCCTTCCTAGACAGTCGCTTCCCATCTTGTATGTATGGAACTGATTGTTCCTTCCTAAGTGGAGCACTCTGCATTTCTCCTTATTAAACCTCATCCTGTTTACCTCTGACCATTTCTCTAACTTGCTAAGGTCATTTTGAATTATGTCCCTATCCTCCAAAGAAGTTGCAACCCCACCCAGTTTGGTATCATCTGCAAACTTAATAAGAGTACTCTCTATCCCAATATCTACATCATTGATGAAGATATTGAACAGTACGGGTCCCAAAACAGACCCTTGAGGAACTCCACTTGTTATCCCTTTCCAGCAGGATTTAGAACCGTTAACAACAACTCTCTGACTACGGTTATCCAGCCAATTATGCACCCACCTTATCGTGGCCCTATCTAAGTTATATTTGCCTAGTTTATCAATAAGAATATCATGCGAGACCGTATCAAATGCCTTACTAAAGTCTAGGTATATGACATCCACCGCTTCTCCCTTATCCACAAGGCTCGTTATCCTATCAAAGAAAGCTATCAGATTAGTTTGGCATGACTTGTTCTTCACAAACCCATGCTGGCTATTCCCTATCACTTTATTACCTTCCAAGTGTTTGCATATGATTTCCTTAATTACCTGCTCCATTATCTTCCCTGGGACAGACGTTAAACTGACCGGTCTATAATTTCCTGGGTTGTTCTTATTCCCCTTTTTATAGATGGGCACAATATTTGCCCTTTTCCAGTCTTCTGGAATCTCCCCTGTCTGCCATGATTTTTCAAAGATCATAGCTAAAGGCTCAGATACCTCCTCTATCAGCTCCTTGAGTATCCTGGGATGCATTTCATCAGGACCTGGTGACTTGCTGACATCTAACTTTCCTAAGTGATTTTTAACTTGTTCTTTGTGTATCCTATCTTCTAAACTTACCCTCTCTCTGCTTGTATTCACTACGTTAGGCACACCTCCAGACTTCTCGGTGAAGACCGAAACAAAGAAGTCATTGAGCATCTCCGCCATTTCCAAGTTCCCTGTTACTGCTTCTCCCTCCTCACTAAGCAGTGGGCCTACCCTGTCCTTGGTCTTCCTCTTGCTTTTAATGTATTTATAAAAGGTCTTCTTGTTTCCCTTTATGCCTGTAGCTAGTTTGATCTCATTTTGTGCCTTTGCCTTTCTAATCTTGCCCCTGCATTCCCGTGTTGCTTGCCTATATTCATCCTTTGTTAGTTGTCCTAGTTTCCATTTTTTATATGACTCCTTTTTTATTTTGAGATCATGCAAGATCTCCTTGTTAAGCCAAGCTGGTCTTTTGCCATATTTTCTATCTTTCCTACACAGCGGAATTGTTTGCTTTTGGGCCCTTAACAACGTCCCTTTGAAATACTTCCAACTCTCCTCAGTTGTTTTTCCCTTCAGTCTTGCTTCCCATGGGACCTTACCTACAAGTTCTCTGAGCTTATCAAAATCTGCCTTCCTGAAATCCATAACCTCAATTGTGCTGGTCTCCCTTCTACCTTTCCTTAAGATCATGAACTCTATTATTTCATGATCACTGTCCCCTATACTGTCTTCCACTTTCAAGTTCTCAACTAGTTCCTCCCTATTTGTTAAAACCAAATCCAGAACAGCTTCTCCTCTGGTAGCTTTTTCAACCTTCTGAAACAGAAAGTTGTCTCCAATGCAGTCCAGAAAGTTATTGGATAGCCTGTGCCTCACTGTGTTAGTTTCCCAACATATGTCTGGATAGTTGAAGTCCCCCATCACCACCAAATGGAACATCCCCAATAAAGGTCAGAGGCCCGTATATTAAAGGGGGCCTATGTGAACTGTGTCAGAATATTATATATTAAAATTTTTAGAACTATCAACCTTGTCTCTTTCTTCCTACTACCTAACTTACTAGTTTCTTATATTTTAAACTTTTTCTGTGTGTAACTTGACAAAATCTTTGTCCTGGAAAAGAGAAGGTCTCTTTGTTGTAGGAAGAGCAACTCTGCACAACACATACTTTATGCAGGAACACACTCAATAAACAGTGTAGTACAGTACAGAATATGGCTTATAGGTATATCACTGCCCAAGTAGCAGTGGTACACCATATATGACTCCGCAGCAATGAATGTATCATTTATACTTTGCCTTTCTGAAAATGGATTTTTTTAATGAAAACTCTAAAATTGTGTCTTTTGGCAGGCTGATCAAGCTGAATTATGCTCAGTCTGTTAAATTGGGAAATTTCCATGTACCCAATCAGTACAGGCTTCTACTGTATACATCATGTAATGGGACTCTTCAGGCATACAGTTACACTGTTGTGAATGTTTAGAGCTGGTGTTGTTTTTTTAAAGGCATGCTTAGACACAGGTAAATCTTTTTTTCTTGTAAACTTGCACAGTACTGCTTCTTAAAATTCTAATTGAGACAACGTAATGCTTTATAGTTGTGGATGCACCTTCATGAGAGAGAGCCAGCATATGAAATCATTCAAGCTGAAGAAACCAATGGATTTGTTAATGTTCATGATGTTTATATTGGTTCCCTCTTTCCTCCAGCTTTTATGGAACTTGTTTCTAGGCTTCTATGTAAGGGTACTGGAAAAAAAATTTTATAGTATGGATGTGGAGAAACCATTGAACCTAACTGTAAAACCTCTGTATACTGGAATTCATTTGAAGCCATGGTGTGCAGCAGCATCTCTAGTTCCAGCACCTACATCACTGTTCTTATTTCAGTGGCTGCTTTTGAACAGGGAGTCTCTCATTGCTCCTTGATCCTGGTTAGTGCACAGGCCCTCATCCTGCACATACCTAACTATATGTTTAAAGTTGAAACACTGAAAACAATGGGGCCAAAGCCTATTAAAATCAGTTTAAACTTTTCCCCTGACATCATTGGGCTTTGGATTGAGTGTAGTCTACTACAGGTTGAACCTATATAGTCTGGCCCTCTCTGGTCTGGTAACATTTGTGGTCCAGCATGGTTTTATTTAGCCGGATGTCCACTTAGCATGGGTGTGGCTAAGTTTCCTGTGGTCACATAAAGTTTGTTTACAGCCACCAGGCCTGGCTCTCTGTATCTTATGCTACTATATAGCTGTAATTTACTCATAAAAGTCTTCTAAGAGCCCAGTAAGCAGTGGAAGTGTTGGTAATGCTGCTAGACAATATTGACCTCCTGTGGTCTGGCAAATTCTCTGGTTTGGCACCAGTCAGATCCCAAGGGTCCAGACTAGAGAGGTTCAATTTGTAGTTAAACATTGCCTTGCTTCACTACACTGGACAAAGATGGGATCTCAGAAGGCTCAGTGCTTTTCCTAAAGTCACCTCTGGGCTCCTAGTTTTATTTTCTTATTCAGAGTTTTAACTTGCTGTGTGTTTAATAGAATGGGACTTAACATGCTGGGAAATCTCAACCACTTAAACTATATCTTTGTCAAACCCCTTTCCTCCATATCTTGCTCTGTCTTCTGGATTTTTCAATATAACCTCACTTTGGGTCTTTTCAGTTATAAACTCTTAGGAATGATAATTGTTTTTACCTGTGTCTTCTCCAGTGCCACTTGCACTGTACTAAGCAAATTAATAATAGTTTATAGAAAATATTAAGTAATTCCAATTGTGTTCTTTTTCTACAGGGTAATACTAATTTTTACAGTACATTGCACTCATTTGCATTTTTGGCAACTTTCTAAATTAGGCTAATTAAACTTAACACCATCAACCATCTTTTTGCTTGCTTTTTACAATGATTTGATTGCTCGTTTTTCAGATGCTGAGTGAGAATCTGAGAGGAGAAATGACTGTAGTACCCAGAGAAGCCAAGATCTGTCTTAAAGATACAAAGTTTATTCAAGTTATTGCCAAATCTCTAAGTGTCAGCTGCAAAGAGGTACCTACTTTAAATATTTAAAGTAAACTCATGTATAGCAGAAAATTCACTTAAACAAGTAAAGGTGAAACACTGAAAATTAAACACAGATTTCCTCGCTGAGAGTCCCAATTAAACAGACCCCAGGGAGCATTCCATACAATAATAAGTTAAATCTTTAATTTATTTTCTAAGTCTGTAGAATTCTCTTGATTATTTCTTGGTTCACTGATGATCTAGGCCATCATAAATACTGTAAGGGTCATTGTCATGCACAGTATTTATGGAGTGAAAGAAAATAATACTGAATTATTTTGCATTTTCTCCATATTTTGACAGTATGGAACAATTCAGGCATAGTGGGAAAATATTGTAATTGTACGCACAATTAGAAATGACTAGTACCAAGGGAGGTATTCTGTATGTAAGTATTAATGCAGAATCAATATTAGTCACTGCTGATTGCACAACAAATATTCTATGGAAAACATTGCAAGACATAATTATTATGGTCTTCTCTTGGCTTGTTTTCCTGGAAGTTTTAATTTGGTACCCGAACAACAATTTATAAATACAGGTTTAAGTAAGGGGACCTTATTCTGGAATGTATAGAGGTAGGAAAAAAGGAGAGGGACAGGGGTCAAATGGAGCAAGTTAAGCATAAATAAAGTTGAAGACTAGGGTTAGAAGGTTCCAAGCACTCCTGCTTATTGAATTCATGGAACTGGGATCTTTCTGCATTTGGGAGTTTTAAAACAAACCCCACACTTGTAGCAAAGGCAGCATGTTCCAGGTTTATTGGGGTCATCTTTTACGTGCCAGAGGAACTGGTTGCTGCTGGTGTTTGAATTGTGGGGCACTATTATGCTTTATTATGCTTTGAGACAAGATCTCACTAATGACGCAGTGGGGACACTTAGAATGACCCCCAATAAGACTCCAGGGTTTAGTAAATACAGTTTTTGTACTGGTTTAACTTTATCATTTAGAAACTCTATAGTTAAGTCAGTACAAACCTCTTATGTTGACACAATTATACCAGTATAAAGGTGCCTTATAGTGATATAGCTATAACTGTCTATGCTAGGGGACTGTACAAACCTGACTCTTTTGGTAAAAAAAATCACACTACTATTAAAAATAATTATTTGGTACAAAAATTGTGCATAGATCAGAGCTAAGGAAGGCTACAAAGCAAAGTAGTCATGGGTCTCCTTAGCTCTTTTCATCTTTATAATATTGGTGTCTCCTGACCGTTTCTCTTGATAGCCCTGTCAGATATGAGTCAGAGCCTTATTGGCCACAGTCATTCTAACCATCACTGTGCTTGTACCTCTGGGAGATGCTGCATTTTGCTCCTTTTTTGATTTTAGGACTAGGAACTGAGATGGCATTTTTGTTAATCGGCAGGTCAAATGAGTGAATCTGCAGAAATGGGGGAGCTAGCTTGTTGCTTCTGTTTGACCTGGTTAACAGTTGGGAGGCTCATAAATGCTTTGTTGTCGAACAGCTACACCACTTATAATCTCATACACCTCAGATCAATAAATAAATTGTTGGTGCAGGTGGACTGGAACCACACACGTGTATATTTCTTGCTTTTTGTAAACCCTGACCCATGTAGTCCAAGCAGAAGGAATGTAGACCAGGAACTTAAGGGACAGAAAGCCTGGTCTACCAGGGCTAAAAGCAGCCTTAGAACTTGAAGCGTAATGTTGACCATGTTAACTCAATGCATGTGGATGGAGGTATTTACCTTAAACCATACCACTAAGTACAGTGATAGGTTAAAACTGGGAGAGGAGAGCCCTAAGAAACAGCAGTGTGTTTCAGTGCATATAAAATGGGGTGAGCAATAATTTTTGATGGGAGGGCATGCCAAGAATTTTGTAAGTCATCAAGGCCTTGCTCTTCTGTGATACTAATGGAGGAGGTACGGGGTCTGGGATGGAGGGTAAGTGCAGAAGGGAGATAGGAGTATGAAACTGGGGTGCAGGAGGGAGCGTGAGGTTTAGGAGGGAGTTTGGATGAAGGAGGGCATTCATTTTGACCTGGGACAGGGTATTGGGGTGCAGGGTCTGGGAATGGGTATGGGCGCAGGAAAGATTCTGATCTTGAGGAGGCGTGTTGGAGGGGTGCAAGGTCTGCAGAGATTTTGACCAGAGGCAGAGATGCAGGAGTGAGTGCAAGGGTATAAATTGTGACCTTGGGGTTGCCAGCAGCAGATAGTTACATGCCCACCCAAATGTCATTTTCAGGAAAAAAAAAAAAAAAAAAAAGGGTGTTGTAAAAATGTTGTCCAACTCTATTTTCAACAAAAGGGTTGAGTATCAATAAACTTCTGGTGCACTTAACCTTCTGTAGGCAGCCATCAAGGCATAATTACATCATTCTAGATCTTATATTGGGGCAGGCAAAATATGGCTCAGAGTAACTGCCTATGGGGCCATGTGCATCTCTAAGCATTGCATGCCCCGGGGGGTGGGGGGGCGCCCTTTGCACGCTGACAGGACTATAAGCATAAACCAGGTGGCTCCCATTGACTTGTGGGAGCTGTGAAATTGTGCTGGGGATAGGGGCAGCATGCAAAGCCCTCCCCTCCAGTGGCATGTGCTGTGCAGAGATATACATGGTGCCTGCAGCCAGCCACTTTGAGGGGCACAGCAGGCACGAAGCCTGCCTGAGGGTCCAGCTGGGCTGCAGGAGAGTGTTGGGCTGGACCTGAAGGTTTGGCGAGATGGATTCGGCTTGTGGACCATATTTTGCCTTCCCCAATATAAGAGCTAACATAATGTGCGTTAATGTTGATATAATAAAGGCCATGGTGGCTGTATATGATGAGTTAAATGCACCAGAAGTATATTGCTACTCAATCCTTTTGTTGTAAATAGAGATGGGCAAAATTTTTTCTACACACTATTTTCCCCCCTGAAAATGGCATGTGGGTGAGTATGAACTGTTTGCCACATCCAGGTCATATTTAATAAATACTTTCAGTAGGGAAAAAAAAGGCCTTTTAATTTCAAATTTGGCCAGTGCAAAAGGTGAAGAACAGCCAAGTCAAAACAAAATACTTGAAGAGGGAAAAAAAGAACTGAAAGATAAAATTATTTTGAGTCAAGCAAAACATTTTGGTTGACACAAAACGGTATTTTTATAAGACAAGAAAATGTTTTGGCATGATTGAACCAGATTTTGTATCTGCTTTTTTTTTCTTCATTTTGTCCACATACCAAAAAATTAATTGGCTTAATAACACAGGGTATGTCTACTCTACCCTCCTAGTTCGAACTAGGAGGGTAATGTAGGCATACCGCACTTGTAAATGAAGCCCGGGATTTGAATTTCCCGGGCTTCATTTGCATAAGCCGGGCGCCGCCATTTTTAAATCCCGGCTCATTCGAACCCCGTGCCGCGCGGCTACACGCGGCATGGACTAAGTAGTTCGGACTAGGCTTCCTAGTCTGAACTACCGTTACTCCTTGTGGAATGAGGAGTAATGGTAGTTGGGACTAGGAAGCCTAGTCCGAACTACCTAGTCCGTGCCGCATGTAGCCGCGCGGCACGGGGTTCGAATGAGCCGGGATTTAAAAATGGCGGCGCCCGGCTTATGCAAATGAAGCCCGGGAAATTCAAATCCCGGGCTTCATTTACAAGTGCGGTATGCCTACATTACCCTCCTAGTTCGAACTAGGAGGGTAGAGTAGACATACCCTGTGTTATGAGATTTTTGGAGTTTATGTAGTATAATCTTCCACTATGAAAAGCATTTGTCAGCAGAATGATTTAAAAAAAAGAAAGAAAAAAAAAAAGCAGACCCAAAGCAAATGTTGCAGCCTTAGGTTTGAAACCTCAGTAGAAACTAGTAAATGGTGCTGTATGTATATTTTAAAATGGAGTTCAATATTGTTCTAATAGTATGTTCATTGACTTACAATCTCAAAAATGGCCAGAGATTCTGGGATTGTTTCCATGTTTAGGTACTGAATTTGAGATACCCTATACAGGACTTACTTTCAAAGCCTGGATGATCTTTTGAAATGGAGACCCCTTTATAAATTGTCTCACATAGAATCTCAAAAATGGAAACACCCATAGTTGTTGATCAATAAAGGCCTTGGTCTGTTGAATCAGTATGAGTGTTCTGATAGAGGATCCATGGTATGTTGATCATACTTATATATTTTACCTTTCAGTCTGACCAGCCACCACACAAAGACAAATTATAAATTTGTATGTGAATCAATCAGAGCAGTCCCTAGGATTTCAGAATCTTTAACAAATGTGGTTCAAAAAGGTCATACCTTCTCCATATTGGGATGTACCATATTTTGCAAGATTCTACATAGCTATGGGGCTTGTGAATAACAAGAAAGGTTGTTTAAATGAGTACCATACTTATTAAATGTCTGACCATGCTGATTCTAGCAACTTAGGACTTACAAATATCCCAGCTCAATACTGACTTAAGGAAACTGATATCTATAATTAGTAAAAAAAAAAGTGTTAAGTTTAGTAATAATACAATTATCAGACATTTAATGTATTACTCTGATTGCTTTTTTATGTATTGGATTTTATAGATGGTTTCTTAGGAGCTTTTTTTTTTTTTTTTAATTTCCACTTGCTCTAGAAGAACCGACATACTCATTGTTCAGGCAAATAGATATTTAAAAATATACCATTTCAGTTGCATATTGGGCAAATCTTTGTCCCACTGAAGTCAATCGGACCAGAAATGATTTCCAAAAAAAATAATATTGGTTTGAGGTTAGCATATCTTCATAATAGGATGTAGCTTTGTTGTTTAGAAATTCACGTGTAGATACAGGGATGTCATTTAGCGGATTTGAACTGTAATTAGCATGTATGTCTGAAATAGCATAGTTCAGAAATCCTCTTAACTTAATTCCAGTTTGATTAAGAAGTGAAAGAAGTCCAAGTAATTGTACAGGAATAGAGATTCATGAACCAAGTGTGTATATGTCTTCTTTTTTCTCAAGGAATGTGAACAAGATTTTTTGTATTAATTGATATTCTAAATTATTGTATTTGGTTACTCTACAAGTAAAAGTGGGTGCAATAGTGTTCTTCTGATGTAGATATCCATAGTTCTAAGGACACAAATGGTAAATAAAAAGATATGCATAATACTAAAACTTTTAATTTTGTTTTTTGTTTCTTAGGAGCTAGAAGCCATTAGAGATGTATTAATTCCTTCTTTGGCCTGTGCTGCAGCTAAAATAGGTGACATAGGTGCACTAGCAGCCATAAGAGAAATGGTAAAATATTAAACTATCTAAAAATATTTTATTTAGAGTGTAATACAAAATGCATTTGCTAGAGATTGGATGCAAGCAATATGTCTGTATAATAGAGTCTTGTAGTAACACTACAGTCAAGGTGAGATGACATAAACATTTATTAACTGGCACTTGAGTCTAGTCTTTTCAAAGAGGTTTTATTTCATGTGATATACTTGTTGTTCTTGTTCTCAGCCTGTCACTTGTGATGGTATGAGCTAAGATAAATATTTAAAAGTATGGAAATGAATAGTTAAGGAGAGTAGAATGCATTTGCATGTTTAGAGTTCTTTTTAATGATAAATTTCCTTTCAGATCCATATACCCATGTTTGTGTAGAGCTTAAGCATGGTTTTGTCTATTTGGTTTTCTTTAAAAAAATAAATAAAAAGATTGGGCTAAAGGAGAATTTAGCCCCCAATTTCTCCAGCATCTCCCCCTCTCCCTGCAATGTGACGCTTAGGAGCTCTACAGTGTTGCTGGCTTCTTCTACCTTGTTTTGGCCTGTTCATGTCTTGAGCTCTCCAGAGCTCCCAGTTCCCTGCAGGTAACATCACCCAACAGCATACCAAACCTCTGACTACCATTCCTTGCCTGCTCCAATTCCCCAGTCTCCTGACTCACATGACCATGAAGCATTTAGGACTGATCATAAAAAAGAATTTAGTTTCCCTATGTAGATTTAATAAATCCTGAAATGTAACTCTATTTGTGGAGTGGCTGCTTATGATAATTTTTAATTGGATATATAGGAAGCAGCTTGGTCTATTTTCTTTGTACTTTGCAGGAAAAAAAAACAGATGGATGCCATTCTGTGGCATACTTAGCGCTACATATAAACACAGTTGCTAAATAAAGCTGTGTATAGCTAGGATAAGAATCCTGTCTCAGCATTGTGAAAAGCTTTAAAGGGGAATAATAAGATGTGTTGAGCTAGAAAGTTTAACAAATGTTGAGACTAAAAAAAAAATTGCTCCAAGTTGAAATTTTAAGACCTGTATCTCAAAATGTGTGATCAATTTTCTTCAGCATTTGCAAAAAAAATTAACCTTTAGTGTAAATCTGGTAATTGGTAGATCAAACCAATTCTACCTTTGCATGACTGCCTTCTCTGTAAGGTAGTCTTCAATGAAGATTTGTATTCTGCCATGTTGGAAACATTTTGTTGGATAATAAAACTTATAATAGGTGGAGAATCATATGCTGAGCATGTGAAATAATTTTTTCCTTGCTGTTCTTGCATTCTCTTTCTGTTTGTTTTTTAACATATACATGCATAGCATCTGGTAGGTATGGTCAGGTATCGTGGGAGACGTGGTGTGGCACCTGGACCCGTATTTTCCCACCCACAGACTGTTAAAAGTATTGGAACTCAAGAATTTACCAAGTAACTTCTTAATCGTTAGAGTAAGGAGGTGCCAAGGATGGCCTTAAAATACAAAGTTTGTTACATCCACAGGCCTGTGCACATCAAAGTATACATGTGTACCAGTGACTACTGGACATCATTAAAAACTTGATTAACCAATTAGTTTCATATGAGCTTTTGAGAAAATGTCCCATGTTTAATGATTTTTGTTGATTGGATACAGATTGTAATGTGGGAATGACTGAGCTCCCTGAATCAACCAGTTTCCATTGTACTACCATTATCTCTTTCCTTAGCAGTTGGTGTATTTATGTTGCAGGGTGGAAACTTGAGCTGTGAAGATTATGATGGTCGAACTCCACTTCATATTGCATCAAGTGAAGGAAATTTGAAACTAATTGAGTATTTACTGACATATGGAGCATCTGTTCATGCTAAAGACATGTTTGGTGCTACTCCACTGATGTATGCCGTCAAATTCAGGTATTAAAAATACATTTTACACAAAGATTTGAGAGAGCTAACTCTGTCTCATTTCAAGTTAATGTCACTTTCAGTTAGTTGGTTTTGGTCACCAGTCTGCAGTAGTGGAAAGCAGTGATAAAATCTGTGACAGCAAATTCTGTAGTTGATGGGTTAGGACCATGGTGTCCAACCAACAGTAGCCACACTCAGCCAAATAGCCACATTGTTCAAGCCAGCTAGCCACACTCAACCAGCCAAATAGTCACATATGGCTAGTAGCTAGTGTGTTGGACACAACAGGTTTAGGATATTTTGGCCATTGTACCTAAGAAAAGAGTCTTGCTGTTGCCAAATAACAGAGCTAAGAAACTTTATTTATTTATTTATTTTAGCCCTGACCCCTGCTCCAGGACTTAATTATTTGTGCTGAGATTTTTTCATAAAAGAAATGTGTCTGTCAAGTTTGACTTATTCATTTTGATTTTGCAGAAGGAAGAGTTCAGGAACTAGAGTAAGGGGGGAGAAGGGATGTCTCTTTGTACCTTCCCTTCCTCATCAGGAACAGAGTGTTTTAAAATAGAACAAGCTACTGCAGTAGGCTGAAATGTTTTGGACCCAGCCTTTATTTCTGGGTCACCATTTCTCTGATTTCTCTGCAACATACTCCACACATTTATCAGCTTACGCAATAAGTATGTGCTGGCTGCTTCCATCAGTGATTCTCTCTCTCTCCAGGTTGGCAATAATCCATGAAGCTGGTCTCCTAGGTCAGTGTTTCTGACAGTGTACCATGGAAACACTTTCAGAAACATTAATTGGCCACCCTGGTTTGTTTATTTACTGGCTTTGCAGCCACGGAGCCTCGCGGCTCCTATTGGCTCTGTTTCATCCTTTGCTGGGCCAGGCAACCACTTCCCGTGGCTCCCTTTGGCTGCAAAGGATGAAACAGAGCCAATAGGAGCTGCTAGGCTCCGTGCCTGAGGCACTGGTACATAAACAAACCAGAGCAGCCAGTTAAAGCATTTCTGAGAGTGTTTCCACGGTACACGGGATGGTGCATATTTTTTATTTAACAAAATATGTATCCTTTTTCACTCTATGCCTTCAAAAAGCCCCTCAAGTCTAGTGCATGTCTTGGTCTTTTTCTCCAAATGATTCTGTTAAAGCTTTCGAATATTGGCAGATTGAGATGTCTGTGAGGACTGGTTCTAGTTCCCTGTGTAGTCTCAAGTTGCACAGCTTTTGTTGAGGAAATTTCAAAATGGCTTATTTCGAAATCTGGCACTGTCTACACAGCACCAAATTTCAAAATAGCACTATTCAGAAACATCCCTTAACTCTCATGGAATGAGGATTACAGGGATGCTGGAATAGCATGCTCGTTATTTCAAAATAATGGACATGTTTAAAGATGCAGAATAGCTATTTCGGTATACTAGATTCTAGATGTAGCCTGACTGTTCTGTTTCTGTAAGAATCAAAGAAATCTCTGCATAAAGGTTTAAGGTATATCCTCTCTACAGGAGCTGGGAATCTGGCTTAGAAATGATCCCAGTTTCTGCTAACCCAGTATCCTTAGAGCTCCAGATGTCTGCACATTGTGCTACTGCTAAACTATTGAGTGCCCCCTATATCTTTATAGTTGTTACTGTCATTATCTTAGAACCATCCAAGCCTTTTATGAGAAGACATATTTATAAAAATTATAACACACTCACCCCTACACGCACAATAACAAGAAACAACTAAAAGCAAATAAAACAAACCTGCAATTGAACAGAGGTGGTGGCCCTAGTCCACTGTGAGAGAGCACTACATCACCAGTAGATGTTCCTGCAAATCAGATACCTGCAGTTTTTTTACCACACCCAACTACTGCCTGAGGAATTTCACATGAGTTTGTTGTTGGATTCCTTTTCATTGCCACTCCTATATTTAACTCTTAATATGTCTCTTTAGTTCTTTAAATCTGTATGCAAACCCATTCTGAATTGAGGAGTGGTAAAATGAAAATGAATCTGAACTATTTTTAGTTTTTGTTTTTGTGCCCTTCCAGAATGAGAAGAAAAACTAAAAAAAAAAAAAAAAAAGCCATGTGACTGTAACAATAATCTTAGGCATGGAATGCTAAGATATTGATCTTTATACTGAAGCTCAAGTGTCTCTGGACATTAGAAATATTGCAGAGCTAATTTACTTGTACTGTAGATGAGGGTGTATGGAATTATGTACTTAAAAGGCATGATCACAACATAATATATTTGAATTACATTAATAAAATGACTGCCTGTGGAAGGTGAAGAGGAACAATATTGATGTTAAACTTTTGCATTTTATATTAAGCAAGGGGGTGGAGGGTGCTAGCTATCTTAAAAATTAATATTAATAACTATTCTGTGCTTTAAATCATGGTCAGAATTGCAAAATATAAAACTGTGCTTTTAAAAAAAATCTAAGAAATTGTCTTAACTTCACAGAAATTTGCATTGCTAAATTCCATTTTCTGAAACTTAATATTTAGTTGAACTGGAATGTAATCACTGTTTTATTCTACACCATGTCTATCTCTCAAAAGCTTTTTAAAATGTGTGTGCCACGTTTCTCAGCGATTTAGTATTTTTAAGCAAACATGCAAATCAGAAAAAATAACTGGTGATTTCTCTCTGACCTAATCATTAGTATAAAAGTTCCCAATGTATGTTTCTTTGCAAAAGCATATTAACAGAGCACTGTCAACCTGTAGGCAATCAAAATGGCCTATGTCAACAGTGACCTCATGTTTAACTTTTAAAGCTTTACTTAATTTTTAAAAATTGAAATTGATATTTTCATTGCTGTTAAAATATGGAATTGTTTTTAAAACTATATCAATTGCTGCATGCCCATTTTCTATCCCTTAATGTATATATTCAACCTTTTTATTACTGTGTGTATATACATTCTCTTTCATATAGTTCATATCAGACAATGTCTCATTCACAGGAGTCACCTGTTGATTAGGTCAGTTGTTTGGACTTATCAAAGTTTGCAACATTCATTTAACTGCCACTTCCCAGTGCCTTAATAGAATGCTGCTCATTTTCAAAATGTAAAATAAATACTTTTATAAAATAAAACTTGTCTAAGCATGAAACTGGTGTCTCAAATACAAATTTCATATATTTTTTAAATCTATTATAACTTTTTCCTTCTGCTTGGAGCTTAAGGCCTGAAGTAGCTGCAAATAAAAAGTTGTATACAGTGTGTATTGCACACTTATATGAGAACATCAGAGATTCTTGTTGGTAAAATCATTTCCCCCAAAAACATGCATTGTAATACTTGAAATCTGCAAGGTTATGTTTACATTATTTTAGTACCTTGAGGATGGAGGAGAATCTAAGCATCATACCGACTCTTTAAAATCACATTGAAGTCTGTCTGACATTATACAATATTTCTGAGTTTGAAATGTGTAGTGATTCAACATTGTGAAAGTTGAATGGGAAAAACTGAGCCAATCCTGTTTATAGCTGCAAGAGAAGCAAGGATCAGAAAGAATGAAACTAATCAAGTTTAAAATGTACATTATACCTGCATTTCTTTCAATGACTGGTGGGAAGTACAGCCCAAGGCCCTCAGCCTGCAAACTCTTACACATGTGCTTAATTTTGTGTACTCACAAAAAGTGAAGTATGTTCAGAAATTCTTGCAGTATAACTCTAACTCACCTGTGGTTAATATTGACTTTTTAATGATGACCATGATATGCACTGGTGTTTAGGGATCCCAAAAGATCTAGGCCAGATTATTCTTCTTGATTTTTGTCATAGAGGAGGACACTGCAGGTGAAGAGAACCCATACAAATGGCCAAAAAACTGTCAGAGGAAGGGAAGTAGCAAGCAACCATTTATGGCTTTTGGGGATCTACTCTCTACTGGCAAATGTGTGTGGGAAAAACCCACACAAGTTAATTCTGACCTGCACCTTCACATTTCCACATAGAATGAGAAGTGTGGTTTTGCGGTCCAGACATGATTGAAAAGCAAGGAGTACCTGGTTCTTGAGTTGTGTTGTGTTACCAGTTAGAGTAAGGAGCCATGGAGATTAGTAGAGAAGGTCTGGCTCTCCAAAGAGGCCCTGAGATTGGAAGGATTTCTATATGGATCTCAGGTCATCTGTGGGGCAGAAGAGCTGCACCATTTTCTCACCGCTAGAAGATCTCCAAACTGCATCTACTAGATGAGATGTAGAAATAAGAACAGTAATCTCAAAACCATGGAGGTTTTTACTTAATTTCAGTTTATTTTAAAAAAAGAAAGTCTTGCCCACACACTTTTCTCCTCCTCCCAAACCTATGAACTCTGATCTGTATATTTATATAATGTGTCAAGAAATGCCACAATGGAGCAAAGATTTTTTTTAGACTTGTTAGAAATGCTGAGTTCTCCAGGACAGGCCCCACCAAGGAAACAGATTCCAGAGTGGTTTGTGTGTAGCCCAGTACAAAATACAAGTGTGTGGGTATACATAAGAGCTTTTCTGCTATAATCTCTTATCAGTTTCATTTTTCAAATGAGTACTAAAATGTTTGATATATCTTAAATCATACTGTTATGAGTTGGGTTGTGTAAAAGAAAGTAAATACAGTACTAGCTCTTACCTGCTATCTCCAGCAGACTCTTACTGACCACCACCTATGTCTCAAGGGACTCTACTGATGAAATATTTAAGATAACTAAACCAATTTACAGTATGTGCAGTTGCAGTAACTGATCGTGCTTAACTTTGCAGCAGTTTCAGTTTCACTCTGAGCAAAAAACTGGCCGCATGATTTAAATGCTAAATTTCAGCTAAGTAACTTAATTTAATTTTTGAAAAGACAACATTTTGAAAACTTTGAAATACAATTATGAGAATAGCTTGTAAGGAAATGTAGATCTTATAATAAATTTATAGTTTTTATTGTAATTGGATTTCATCCAATAAGCTTTAAAGTAAATTATCTTTGTCAAGATTAAGATTCCAGAATATTCCAAGCTGTTTGACCTATAGTCCACTTCCAGAATAGGGAGGCATTATAACCTTCAAGTAGAATAAAGTGAACGTATGTTTGAATTTATTGTTTTATGTGTTGATTAATTGTTGAGTGACATGAAGTGATCTTTGTGCCTAAAGTTTTGAATCCAGCCCATAGATTGTAGATTTGATAATGAGCAGCCCTGTACTTTTCACTTTAAGATGTTCCCATAGCACTCTCCAAAGTCACAATAAATGTAATCATCGTTGAAATAGACATTTTGGAGCAGTTACATTTTTGGTGTGGGTTAAATTCTGCCTTTCCGTTTGGGAATTAGGCAGCACAATGAATTAACATCTTTTTGTTTCTTGAGACCTTGGATCCACAGGGCACTAGGTCAAGTTGTCCAACTAGCATATTTTATGGTGCATCTTTTATTATTACCCTTTTTGGTAATATGTGTGTAACTGAGAGGCACTGAGACCACCGATAAAGGGAGAGTGCAGTCTGCTTTACAGCCTTAGCTGAAAGCAGTTAGCTGTTAACTCATGTGGTAGAGGCATGTGGCTTTAGCCTTTAAAGTTCCAGGTTCAATCCCACCTATGGTGGGGGCTTCTGGGATGAACTACTAGGAGGTCTCTAAAGTTGGAATATACCTCATCAGCTGAGGGAAGGATGTAACTCTAAGGTACTGAGACTAGTGAGAAAGGGAGAGTGAAGTTTGCTCTACAACAAGAGCCAGTTGGCTCTTAGCTCATGCTGAAGAGGCACCTGGCTTTAGCCCCTTAAGGTCCTAGGTTCAATCACCTGCCAGCTTCATATGTAGTCTTTTGTGAAATTTTGCATGCATCCCACAGCACTGTATTCCAAACAACAAAACTGTAAGGCTATGTCTACACTGCGCAGCTATTTTTGGGATACCGGAAGTATCCTGAAATAGCTCTTCCGTATCTTTAACGCATCCCGTTATTTCTAAATAGATTTTGAAATAACAGGCATGCTATTCCAGTGTCCCTATACTCATTCCACAAGGGTTAAGAGACATTTTGGAGTATCACTTTATTTTGAAATTTGGTGTTGTATAGTCAACACTAAATTTCAAAATAAGTTCTTTCGAGGTAAGGGTACAGTGTAGACACACCTTAAGGGGCCATTGCAGTGGTCTCAGTGGAACTATTTCTGAGTCTTGTGGCTGAGGAACAGGGACCATGCTGGTCATGTAGATCCTATTATACCTAACAGGCAGAATAATGTACTCATGGGAAAGAGCCAGTCAAAACATGACTATGGGTGGGCTAGTGGACCATGAAGAAGACTGTATCTGGTTTGGAAGAAACTTAGCAGCAGAGGGGGTATATTGTGGGAGATTCTTCCAATGGTAAAATCAAAATCTAAATGTATGGGTGCTTATGCCACCTATGAAGTTGTAGGAGCTTGGGCATCACTCATAGTAACCCATAAATTTAATTTTCCATGTTGTGGAAAATACACACAGAAATACTGTTGCTCTGTGAATGCCTTCATTGTCTATCTGCATGTTAGTGCTTGAATTAATAAGAGTTGGAAATAGGGACAATCAGGATACAAATAAGTATAGATTTATCTTTGAAAGGTAGTTGTGTTCCTTTCTCTCAGTTTTAGATTCCGTAATTGAAAACAGCATTTTTGTAAAGTCAGTGTGCCAGGGTAGTTAAATGATGTTATAATGCCTTTGCCTCTGTCTTGTCCTTCGTCAGTGCAGAGGAAACAGAGTAGAAGTTAGTGGCCTGTGAGGTGCAGGAGATTAGAGATTATCTGTCGGTCTTTCTTGACTTTAAACTCTAACTCCTTGAATGGAGAACATACTCATCATCAATCTCTTTTTATTTTTTTTTCCTTTTATTTTTTCTTTAATACCATTCTGAAAAATTATGAGAACCAGTGTATGAAAGTCTGTGTTTCTGGAATATTTGTTTTTATCTGTAGATTATTTTTCCCCAGGATATTTAATTGTTAAAATAAATCTTTCTTTTTATTATTTGTTTGTGAAGGCAATTAGAAGTGATTCACTTACTACGTGAAACTGGAGCTCACCTTTCCAGCCAAGAGGTAGAGAACATTGGAACAGAACTTTGCCGGTAAGGATGCCTTAAGGTTAGATATGATATTGTAGTATGGTCCAAGTGTCAGGAGCTCAACTGTCTCCCAGCCTGGTTACACAAGCATCTGTTGGACTAAATGAACTTTCTCCAAATGTTCAGGTTCCTGATTAGTCAAGGCAGCCAGCAGCCTGTGACTTGATCCTAGCAGCAACAGTAGCATAGCAACTGCTCAACTTGTATGATGCCCATAGCTGTACCTAACCTGTTTTGGCTTCCACTTCTTGCTCCGACTTTTGTTCCTGTTTTGATTCATGTTTGCTTCAGTCTAATCTTTGCCTTCCTACTCTATTCTGACTGAATCTGATTGATGTCTCGGCTTCTTGATTGTAACTTTGGCTTACGCTTTGGCTTGGTGTTCCCACTCCTGATTCTGTTTTGATCTTTTGGCTTGGCTCCTCAATCATGACTCTGGGTTGACCCTTAGAGTAGTACCTGACTCCTGGATGGATGCTCACAGTTATTCTGGACTGCTGCACAACCACCAGGCAAGATCCTACTGCACCCACTAAATAGGCCTTCCGTGCCCCAGCATTTTACACCAAGTTAGCTGTGCTAATACGCTGTTCTAACAGTTACATCATTGTCCCGTTATCTCTATTTTCAAGGGTAAATGATTGCCTTGTTAATATGCCAAGGATTCACTCTGAAATAATAAGAAACACAGGGGCTTTATTATTAAAGCAAACTAATTTAGTAGGGTATAAATTACAATGATTAATGATTCATTAATACATTAGAGTGAACAAGGGATCCATGAGGGGAAGTTACAGTACAGCATTTTGGTGTGTACTGCAGTTCACAACCCCATAATCTGAACTGTGGTGCAGTGTAGCCAGGCCCTGCATTAGAAATGCTGGGGTTGTAATCTTGATTCTGATTCTGATTTGGCTCTTGATCTCAGTGCCACAGTTACTCAGTAAAACAGTGATTTTTTGATAATGGTCTGTTTCACGCGAATAACAAGTGAATTTGTTTCTCAAATGCTTTTAGAATGGAAAGCGCTATATAAATAACTATGATATATAGCAGGGACCATTGAGTTCATGCCATATACTATTTTGGGGTTAGATTTAATAACTAAAATACAAGTAAAAGGACAAAATTAACTATTGACTGCATGACACACCTGAAGTGTCAAGTATCAGAGGGGTAGCCGTGTTAGTCTGAATCTGCAAAAGCGGCGAGGAGTCCTATGGCACCTTATAGACTAACTGAAGTGTAGGAGCATAAGCTTTCGTGGGTAAAGACCCACTTCGTCAGATGCAAGTTAAACCTGAAGTGGTTTACCAGAATTTACAAGTAGAATGGACAGCATAATGAAAAATGTGAAATGGATTCAAAACAAGTCCCGTTTCCTGATGCATTTTTTAATATATATTTTTTTATTACTATTAGGTTGTGGGAAATATGTGTGTTTAGTATCTAGGGGTATGTCTACACTACAGCACTAATTCAAACTAACTTAATTCGAATTAGTTAATTCAAACTAAGCTAATTCGAATTAGCGCATCTAGACCCAAAAACTAATTCGAATTAGCGTTTTGCACGGTCTGGTTACAGTGCTGTGACAATATGCAGGAGGGGCTTTCTCTCACATAGTCTGCACCCTAACTATATACAGTTCTGCTACATATTTCCCAGAGCATTGCAAGTAATGGAAACAATGGAAAGACTTTTCAAATTAAGAATTTGCTAACTCTGATCCACCTGTCAGAAGTACTAAAGGAGTGGCTCAGAATATTACATTCTTTCACAAATACGTTGACCTTATACATAACCCCTTCTGTCCTTTGCAAAACCTGCTTAACTAGCTAGCCTGATAGTAGCACTACAAAATTGAGAGCATGTGCTTTAAACAAAAAGTGAACGTGGTGGAATTTGTTGTAGTACATTGAGGGAATATCATACAAACTGAATTAGTATTGCATGATATCTTGCATTTTGAATGTAGTGGTAAAGAATCCCTGAGGGTTTTGAGGCACTTTAAATTGGTTTTTAATGGTATTAAGCCAACAAATGATAAAAAAATCACCATTTGTTTTAAAGATATCTCTAGTGCAGTGCAGAGAGTGGGATATATATATATATAGACAGGAGAATGAGTGGGCTTTATGCATGGAATGATTGCAAGTGTTTGTCTTGTGACTTCCACCATACAAAATGAGCGGAACATTAACTAGCTCTTGCACAATCACCCCAAAGACAAGTGTAGTGGTCTGACTCCTATGGGGAATGCGTGACTACTGCATCAGCATAAATCCTGTGGCCATGCCCCCTGCATCGGCTTACACGCAGCAGGTGTGGAGTCCAGTTTTACTGTGCATGTGGTGTTGAGAGGCACTGAACTTTGACTTTTCACCCATGTCCTTCTGCACAATGAAACCATTTCACTTACACTGCTCTGGAAAGCTTTTGGTGTCCCTTTTGCAGAGGAGTGAATTTCTTCTAGAGTACATGAGTCAAAATGCTAAAGGGTTTGTAGTTAAGATTGTCTTATTGTCTCTCCAAGGTGCCAAATACTCACTTTGGGGTATGACAGCTCTTAGATTATTTGAACAAAACTCAGTGATTTATTCTTCCATGCTACTGAGTTTCATTTTATCCTCCACTTCTGCACCATCTCTCTTGGGACTTTTATCACACTAGCTATTGGCATGGTGGAATGCTGTTGCATGTGGTCATCCTGAGGCTGCCTTTGGAACACATTTTTACCAAGTCCTCTTTCTGTCTAATTTAAGTGACTGGCACCATAGTAATATGCCCAGCCTCTGGGAGTGAAGAGACAAAGCTGATCAGTTCCTAAATAGCATTCAAGGACTGGTCAGAAGTCATCTTGTATTGTTCTCTACTTGAATTAAGATCCAAAAGCCGGTTTTTCTCACCGCTTATCTATTGTAAACGTAATTTGGCTATATTCTGTATTGATTAATCTCCATGGCCAATGTTTTTCCTGTTCTAACACTCGCTTCTTAATTTCCTTGTCTTTAGACATAAAATGATTTAGGATTTAGAAACTGAAGTATTTGGTTTGATACCTTTGGTCATTAGCTGATGACGGTAAATGGTCAGCTGGATTTCTTTAGGACATCTAAGGCTGGAATTGCACTTGCAAACACTAACACATTATGCAATTTCTTAGACACCTCTCCTAAGAATTAATTCATCCTGTTGTTTTTAGAAAGTGAAATGAGGAATTTGCATTTTTAAGATGTTTAATTCTTTGATTTCACTTTTCCATTTTGTTGAGATGAGAACTAAGTTTTCTTATCAGGTATCCCTTAGCATCTTCCAAATCTGTTTTCTTGCTGCAAAACAAAACTGTAACAACTGCAAGACGAATAATGGTGACTGCCCAAATTTGTTCAGAAAGCTACTCTGCTAGATCCAGTTTAACCACAAATTTGATTGACAGTCAAACAACCAAGTCAGTATAAATTAAGTGAAATTTCACCTGTTCTGAACAGTCTGTGCTCTTCACAAGGCTGAAATAAGGGCAGTGGAGCAAGCAAATGAGTTCACACTAAAATATCATTTATGAAATCCATACTCTTTTTCAGCCCTATTATCAAGATAACATACTTTTAAAAATCTGATCACAGTTGTTGGGATAAATTATAGTTCTGAAGATACTGGGACCATGCTTCTAGTCCAGGACCCTCGGGATCTGACTGGTGTTGAACCCAAGAATTTGCCAAATCACAGGAGGTCAATATTCGTCTAGCAGCATTACAAACACTTCCACTGCTTACTGGGATCTTAAAAGACATTTGGGGGTAAATTAAACCTAAATAACAGCACAAAACACTGAGAGCCAGGACTGGTGGCAGTAAACGAACTTTATGGGACTGCAGGAAATTTGGCCACACCCATGATAAGTAGACATCCAGCTAACTAAAATCATGCCAGACTATAGTTGCTGCCTGACCAGAGAGTGCTGGATTAGAGGGGTTCAACCTGTACATGATTAACTTTCTGAAGAAATAAAATATGAAATAGATTTTTATACTCTTAATTTCTCATATCTCCGTGGAGTTGTGAAATGTGAATAAAAAGGCATAGGGATACTTGATATTATGAATCATATTCTTGAGTGCACTCTAGATAGAATTATTTTAGTTCCTCACAGAATCACTATTTTGCTCATCAAGAATCTTCGCCAGCAGAGAGAAATAATTTTTCTACTGCCTGGGTGGTTTTGCAGCAACAGATATCTCATCATTTCCCAGTGGTTTTATTTATATGTTGAACAAGCAAGAGTCCCAGAATGGAACTGTTTGTAAGAGCCCTTGAGAAAAATGAGGTCCTTAGATCACCAAGAAAAAGGAATTCAGCCTCCCCATGCTTTGCAAAATCCCACAAGAGTACTTCATGGTAAACACTATCAGTTGCTAAGAAACTTATTCTTTCTTGTAAACCAGTTAAAATGATACCAACTTTTTATTATTTTTCTATCACTCGAATGCATATTTTGAAAGTAATTGGACTGAGGGTTCCAAGCCTTTAACAGTTTTTATTCTTGTAATCTAGTGCAACCTGCACATGCTAGACAATATTATTACATTTATCACTTCTCCACTATCCTGACTCTTCTACAATCAAATCATTTTGCCTATAATGGAAATTCCTGTATTATAAAACCGTTCCAAAGTCATCCTTTCCAAATGTTAAAAATCCAATGGTAGTATCCTCTCTGTTACCTGCCTGTTATATGGTATGCCAAGTAGCACAAGAGCTTACCAATGTGCTATTTTTCGCTCTCAACCAGTGCTGAAGACTTAATTGTTTTACTGGCTTTTTATAGTGAATGGTTATTTTGTACTCCTTGATCTCTGATATGAAAGGAGCTATGAAGAAATAGGCTTGCTGTTTAGAGATTACCTCATAAGCCTTTGAAATGTATAATTAAGGTTGCTGCTGTAAATAGTCTTTATACAAAATTCAATACCAAACATTACAGTAACAAAGATCTGGGAGATATATTCTGAAATCTTTCAACATATCTATCAGTAATATATGTATATATTTGACTATGTGGGGAACCTATTTAGTGTATATGATGAAAGAGTTTAAATGTACTTTGTGACTCATAAATAAGGAGTTTTAGAAAATTATCCTTCAATTTCCAATCTTTATATATTGTTAACCAAATGAATATTGATATACCTATTGATTTAGGTATATTCAAATTATAATTTGACATCTTCAAGTAAATTGTCTGAAAAGACTATTTCTATTCTTTTTAAGGTTTTTAAATTGTGGTACTCTTGTCATGTAAAGGTGTTAGTTTCTGAAGCAATCTTAAATGTAAGTTATCACAGCTTTTTTGTAGGGTGGAATTTCCTTTTTGAAAATAAAAATACGAGAGGCCTTGAATGTCTGAAACTAGGCTGGCATTAACACATCTTCTGCCTCAGACAGAGGATTTTTTTTGCTACATTTTAAGATGAAATGCATGGTAAACAGCTAAATCTGTTTTATTTTTGGCTGAACAGTTATTCAGCAAAAGCTTAAACTAGCAAACTTCTGAGGATGTGATTTTTTTAAAAAAAATTTGCAACAGCCATTGTTATAAGAAATCCCCATCAGTGAAAATTATTATTTGTTTGTTTGCTACTGACTTAGAAACAACTTCATAGCTTCAGCCTCTTGCGATTTTAACTCATCGTTCTTTCTGAATGAGAGCTTTTGGATGCACATTGTGGAAATAAGTACATGAGTTTTATTTGTGGTACTTACTATGATACTATCTGAATTACCTGGGTTTGTGTGGTAACACAATTTTTTTCAGTGTGCTCTTTTTAGGGCACAGTGATTTTTTGCTTTGCATAATAGATGAATTATAGACCGCCTCTCAGCAGCCCTGCACTTTTTTTTTCTCTGGACTTTGAGACTCTCTTGATTCTCATAATCTGTCTTTGATTTTTATAGCCAGAGAATCTCACTGTGCCTATAGCAAAAGATGAATCTTCTGAAACAAATAAATTGACACTTGTTGAGTAGCCGCTGCCATGAGCAACTTATAAATTGTGCAAGACAGCAGTTCCCTTTTAACTCAGTACTAAACTCCACTCCCCCTTTGGTCTGTTGTCAGTGGGAAATAATCTTTTTGCTTTCCATTGGCGCTTCCTCCACATTTTATTGGCGCTTCCTCCACATTTCTTCTCTTACCTATGCCAGCCTGCTCCCACTATTACATTTCTCAGAGAAAACAAAGACCCTAACTCCTCTGTCTTTGCCCTGCCCCATGCCCCTTCACTCCATCTCAACAGCCTAAGGCACAGCTTTGTCTTTTACCCACCCATCCCTCAGGCTTCTGCAAGCAACAACCTTGCTCTAGCTTTCTTCTCACCCATCCTCAGACTGCTGCACTTACAGGCTTCCACTCCCCTTTAAAGATTTTTTTAAGTACCTGAAAATATTTATCAACAGTTGAAGTGGCTTTGGACTACTGTAGTGAGTAACAAATTTTGCAGACTTGACTGTAGAATGACCCTTCCACAAACGGTGCTGGCTGCAGGCTGATGACAGCTCACATGCCTTCGTGTGCACTTTCCCCTACACCCTCCTCCCCTACACCCTTCTCCCTACACATCTGTCCAGGCAGTTTACTATACTCAGGAGCCATTTACCTTCCTCTTTACCCATTGCCTGCTGCTGTCAGTATTCTTTTCTTTCAGTGAAAAAGACAGTGACATTCACAGCAGCAGGTCATATGCTTCAGACCAAACAAATGGGCCTTTTCCAGCCCTCACTTCAATGAGATCCAACCTCACTGAAGAATTACCTGGCTGTTTCTATTGAGATATTCAGCAAAGTAGTCAATATTAACATTTAAGGGCCTTATGGCTACAGTCCTAACAAAGACTGGCCTCAGTAATTACCGTGTGCGAGGTTGCAGATGTAGGAACCAAGCTTTCTAAGAAGCTGTTGAAGAGTATACATTTTTAGTACTGCTTGTGGGGGGAGGAGCCCCTCTGACTGCTTTCCCCAGGGCTGCTGCAGCAAGTAGGCAGTACTCTCTACTTCATATCCAAGCAACTTGCATCATTCTGGCAGGGGATGGGAAGGAAGCAGAGTCCAGCTGCTGAGGATGGCTCTGCTCTTCTGCCCTTCTGTGAGCAACAGGACAACTCCTCTGCTCCTTCCATCCCTACATCCTGGGAAAGCACAGAGGTGACCCCAGTGCAGTCCCCCAGGTCTTAGGGATGGGATGAAGAACCCCTAGAGTTGTAGGAAGAGCAGAGAGGAGGCTGAAAGGGGCAAATTTGATATGTGGACTGAGGGATGGGATTGACTTGAGGTCAGAAATAATTGCTAGGGGGACCAGAATATGACAGGGTTATAGTGAACACCCCACCCTCCCACACACACTTTTTTCAGACCATGTGCTGCTCATCTGTTGTTTCAACCTGTCTGCAGGCGACATTGCATGAGAGGCACAGCCAAGTGGTTTTCACATCACAAGAGCTAGAAACACTTCTTTAAAATGAAAAATAAAATTTTTCAGATATTAGTGGGGCTGTTAGCAGACCTGGAAGAAACTGCCAGATGTTGTCATACCAGAGGTTTAAAATCCAAATGTGTCTTGATTCATTTTGATACTGTATAATGTTTGCCATTTGTAAATGGTGGACTTAGACCACCCTTACCAGAGTTTTCTTCTTGTTGTGTGTAAAATGGCTATTTATTGGCACCGATTTTTATAAATCACCCTTATTTCAGATCCAAATGCTGTAGCGCCATTAAAATGATCCAGATTGCATCACAGAAACATCATGCTGTCATAACCCCTGATAACGAATATTAATATTCATGCGGGAGACAGTGTTGTATCAGATATGTTTATAAAACTTTTGGTTTTTTTTTAAAAAGCTCAATGTGTTGATAGCATGTCTGGTGTTTTCCTCCTATATAGTAAAACTATTATTGAAAGTGGAAAAACTCTGCCACTTAAATGTGAGAGAGCCCCCCAACCCTCCTTAAACTACATTTCACAGGATAAATATTGAGTTGTGAAATATGAAACTGCATATCTTTTTTCCCCTTTGGTCATAGTCACACCCACTGGGTGAAACTAGTCTGTTGTAAGTTGCTTATAATACAGCCCTGTTAATTTAAGGAACTGATTCATCAAGTCATGCTGCTTGCTCAGCTGTTCAAAGCTTTTATAAACTTCTCCCTTACTGTCCCACCCTCCACCCCCACTCCATTTCTGTCCTGGCAGTCATGCAAAGCTTGTTGGTTTAGTGTTCACATTAGTTTGCCTGTTAGTTAATAGAACACACTATTACAGTGAGATGTCCTTACAGATTTAGGAAAAAATAAATTGTTGTTAATTGTTCTTTTTTCAGCCTTGCTGCTAATGGTGATAAGGAAGGGTTGTATGTCTGGTATCTCGCTGGTGCAAACCTGGAACAAACTGGTTATGATGGCAGAACTGCCTTTCAAATAGTAAGTGTGACTATTGCTGTACTTCATGTGGAGCTCAGCTAAGCATGCGTGTTATTGCATATCTGTTCTGACACGTCAGATGGTATTAGGTTGGGCAATTTAAATGCCACTTTGGTTCCGACAACTTTGATTTTCAAAAAAGTCTTTGCTTCAAATTTATGACAAGTCCAGAACTATTGTCAAGTAATAAGCCATTTAAAGCCATTTTTCTCCCAACTCCCCAGAAGTAATTAGACATTTAAATCAGGCTTTAAGTAGTTTTTTGATTTCCCTTACATGAGAGAGTATGTGTATGTGTGCACACGTGTAGGCATACAGGCACTCAAGACATGGTAATACTCATTGAATTTCTCTTTGCAGGCAGAGGCTACAGGGCATAAGGCGCTCCTAGATTTTTTTAATGAAATGAAGATCATGAAAGGTAATGGCTATGTTAAAAGCTCTTGTTTTCTGAAATGTACCTGGGTAGTCTTTTGTTGTTGTAGGATGGTTTTGTAGTTACAGCCCTGGGCTGGGCTTGAAGAATTCTAAGTCTGGTTCCTGGCTCTGCCACAAACTTCCCATGTGACCTTAAGCAAGTTGTTTAATATCTCTGTGCCTCAGTTCTCCATTTATAAAATGATATAATCTAAAATGAATTGACTTGTCGATTTAGATTATGAACTCTTTGGGGGTAGGAACTGTGCCTTACATAGGATATATATATCACCTATCCAAAACTGAATTTCATCTGTTACTGTAATGCAAAAGTTAGATAATTTACAAAGTAAAGAATATGTTAGGGAGCTTTTTTCTCACAAGTCTGACAGGCATTGGCACATCAATTTAAATTTACTTAAGTAAAACCAAATCAGGAACTTTTCTAGTTAGCATCAAAACAGACAAACTACAGCAAGGCAATTAATTCAGAGTTTACACATTTAATTCAAAAGGAAAATGGAGTGTTTTGGAAATGTGTGCAAATAGATAATACTTATAGCAACCAAGGAAATACAATGAATGAATTAAACATTCCCCAAAACGATGTCTTGATACTTAAACCAAAAAGTGGCTTTCATATAACTGAATGGATTTTTTTTTTCATTTGATGTAACTTTGGGCCATTTTTATCACTTTGTTATTTATACCTATATAAAATGGACATAAATCCTCCTATTGATGTATCTGAGTGGGGAAGTCCCATTGGTAGCTTTCTGTACCTACTATGCACTGATATAAGTGGGGCCCGAACAAATTCATAGCCAACAAAAACATGACATGAACCATGAAATCTGATCTGCCCCCATTGAAATCTGATCTTATGGGTGCTCTTACCTTATACTATAGAGATTTCACAAGGGAGACCAGTGTTTCTCAAATTGGAGGTCTGATTCAAAAGAGAAATACAGGTGGGCCACAAGGTTACTTTAGGGATTCATGCTATTGCAACCTTTACTTCCTTGCTGCTGCGCTTCAGAGCCGTGCAGCTGGAGAGTGACGGCTGTTGGCCAGCCACACAGCTCTGAAGGCCAAGCTCCACTAGCAGCAGCATAGAAGTAAGGATGGCATGATGGGATAGTGCCACTCTTACATCTGTGCTGCTGCGGGCAGAGCAGGGCCCGCAGTCAGCAGACGCTACTCTCCAGCTGCCCAGCTCTGCAGACAGCAGCACAGAAGTAAGGGCGGCACTATCATACCATGCCATCCTTACTTCTGTGCTACTGCTGGCAGCAGCTCTGTCTTCTGAGTAATGCTCTTGGCCAATACCTGCTACTGTCTAGCTGGCCACCTCCAAAGGCCATGCTGCTGCCAGCAGTAGCACAGAAGTAAGTCTAGCAGTACTGCAACCTCCCTACAGAAACCTTGGGTCCCCGTCCTTTCCCCACACCTTTTTGGGTCAGGACCCCTACAACTATACCAACATGAAATTTCAGATTTAAATGGCTGAAATCATAACATTTACCATTTAAAAAATTCTATGTCTGTGAAATTGACCAAAATAGACCATTCATTTGGTAGATCCCTAGATATAAGTGATTACACAAATGTAGAACAGAGGAGAATCAGGCCTTCTGCAATTTAAAAAATAAAAAGGGGAGTTGGTGTGGGAAAATGGGGACTTGCAGGTAGAGTTGCCAAGTGTCCAGTTTTGAACCAGACAGTCTGGTATTTGAGGTTTCTGTCCGGGAAATAAATTGAGAAAATACTGGACATATAAATGTCTGGTATTTTCTAATTAAGTTTTATTATTATGAGTATCAGTACGTAGTTGCATACTGCCTGGCTGTTAGACACACTCACACTGTGTGAGTTTGTTTACCAGCCAGGCAGTACACAGCTACGCAGTAGAGAGGAAGGGGTGGGGTGAGGGTGGGGGCAGGGCGGGATGGAATCCCTGGGGCCGGACTCACTTGTGCTTCACCAGGACTGTGTACGGGACGGGCAGCACTCTGGGATCTGTGTGCACCCAGGCCAGCCCTGCTCCCCACTGTCCGGTTCCCTGCCCCCACTTCCCCCCAAGCCAGCTCTGCTCCCCGGTGGCCCGTTCTCTCCCCCAGCTTCCTCCCGGCCAGCCCTGCTCCCCCCGGCCCACTCCCAGCCCGCT